TAGTAGTAGTAGTGGTAGTGGTACTATAGTGTTAATTCTAGTAGTTTGACAGGTTAATAGTAGGAGTAACAGTAAAAATAAGTAATACGAGTTGTCATAGGAATAGTAACAATAATGATTATGATGATGTTAGCAATCCTGATGCCTAACATCAGTTTTTGTGGTTATTGTTGTTCGCATTATCGCCAAGTTTCATATCGGTGTAGGTTTCCCACCCGAAGTTGTGAGCACCTCTTCGGGAGCTTACGGGGTATAAGGAGGATGAGGCGAACTCAATGCTAGCTCGCGCAGTTGGGGTGTACCAATGACCCAATGGTTAGTAAGTTCGTATGAACGATCATAAGACCTAAACGGAAAACCTTCAAAGCAGCGTAGCATATGTCGAACTCACATATGTGGGCCCGAGCCTTCTCCACAAGAATGTATTGTGAAACCGTTCAAGGAAGCACCTTTCGAACTATGCACGCAGCCGAGGTAACTTGCAGTCTTGGTGCAGTGGCCTTGCTGCAGGGAGGTGGGGGTTTGACGGGGTCAGCCAGGATCTTAGAGCTTTGGGTTTCCATCGGCTAATGGGGCAAATAGAATTGTGCTTTCAAGGGACAGTGTGACCACATGGAGACGGGGAAGGGGTTGGTTGTGAACAACCGTGGGTGCAAGGCCCATGCTTTCAGATACGAAACTCCAAGTGCCGGACCCAGGGCCCTGGCACTCTCATCGCCCTGAAGGGTCTTGGTATGCAGCCGAAGATGCTGGAGATGTGCTTTGCCTGAGATTGTTTAGGTTAGCGGCGCTTGCGTGCAGACTTGTGCTGGATGCAGGAGGAAGGGTGATTGGATTCGAAGCTTCTGGAGCGGTGCAGGTAGGTGTGCCCGAAAGAACACCCAAGCAGCTTCGGCGTTGGGACCCGGTTTGACGTTAATACTGACAAGTCAGATTCACTCTGGAGAGGCCAGGAACTCCACGCCCCAGGAGTGTACTCTCCACAGGTCAGGTGATAACCCTTGCAAGGGGTGCATGTCTCTACGCAGTCCATATGATGTGTAGGGCGGGGTAACTTTCTGAACTCACTCTTGGTTTCTGCCTCTGTTCTTCAGAATTCAGAATTGCCACCCCATGGTTCGAGCCTTAAGAACCAAGGCGGAATTTGGATAACAGCAGCCTTGCCGCAGACAGGGCTTTTGGGAGTATTGTGGGCGGTATCCGGAGGCTTGGCCAGTTGAGATGTCGGTCTTGAGAACACATCTGCGAAGATACATTGAGTGTGCTTGCTCCTTATCAGGAGTGCATTGACTCTTGTTGTGCTTGCCCCTGCGCCCAACAATGCTCAGTTCTTGCTTGTCAGATGCCGATGCCCTATGGAGGGGAGGTCGGACTTGCTTGCCTGCTTTTTGCAAATGTGAGAGTCGAAACCCAAAACCTCAAGTCGTAAGACCTTAACGCTAAGCCCAAGTCCAGGGAAGGTCGTCCTCAAGTATATCGCCGGGCGTGTGCTGCTGAACGGGCGACAGCAAAATCCGGGCGAGGCCCTTTGAGCAGGGTTTGGAGGCTAGGCCTTGAGGGTTTGGGGCATTCTTTGAGTGCCGCAGTTGTGGAACTTTTGGATTGCGCCACGGAGGGCCTACTTTCCACAAAAGCATGTCAAGGTCGGTGCATACGCAGCACACCCCGCGACCCACGACCCGTCATTTGCAGTCAAAGCTTAGCTACAAAGATGACGTTATCGAATGCTACAGCTTGAAGGTCCAGCTTTGCCACAGCGACCGCCTCATCGTCGGCCACGCGTTCTGCTTTCGAAGCTTGGAGACAGGCGATAGAGCCGGCCGGCTGTAGCGCCAAGCTCCTAGAGTTTCTGCCCCGAGCTTTAGGATCTAGGCATTTTCCATGTGAATTAGGGTCCAAATTTAGGCGTGTGTGTCAGGCTCCTTATGAGTAAATGTGAGAGTGTATTGTGGGTTTTATCATGGTGAGAACACCCCTGCGCCATGCAGCTATAATGCATCGACAGGGGGGAAAGACCTGCAGACATCACAGTTCTGCTTAGGAAGATCGCCGTGTTAAATTCCGTCGGGCTGTGAAAGAACTGCACAACACCCAGCCCGCCAACGAGATCGTTGCACTGAAGCACTGAGGCTTCGTCAACTTTTGTGTGTGTTGCAGTACCCATAGGCCCCTAAGTAGTGCCGTTTTGGGATTACCTTATAGGATTCTAAATATGAACCACAAAAAGGAACTACTATGGAGCCTATGGGTAAAGAACACCTCGCTCCTCTCCGCTATTCATTCCCAGCTCCCGGGGCACAGATCCAGGGCTCCAGGGCTGTACTGCATCTCCCCATGGCTCACGAGCCGGGTGGTTCCTGAGCCCTGAGAAAGGACTCGTGGTCCCCATTGATGATAGCAATCGTCAAGAAGATGTCCCGCTAGAGCAACTTGGCGATGGTTTGCCTGAGAGGTGTTTCAAGCCTTCCTTTGCAAGATCTGGAGCGACAGGGTCCCATGATTCCACTAGTAGTTCGCCGGCTGAGGATACCTGAAGATCTAAGGCACGTTAGCAGTCTTGCTAGAGCTATGTGCAGCAGTCGTCGCTTTCACTTGAAGGACGGCGCTGGAGGAAGTGGAGATGCCAGATGACCCGGCCTACCAGCAATTTGGCTTCGAAGAGACCTCCCGGAACTCCCCGTCGGTGTCTCGCTGCTGTCCAAGTTCAGTGCACAGAATTGGAACCCCAGTGAGGGACAGCTGTCGGAACCAGGCAGTGTCTGATGTACGTCAAGCATCTCCAGAGCCGCATCGGTGACATCCGGGCTATGACGCTACCAGCTTGAAATACTTGGGACTTGTCGTAACTCCTGCAATCCAGATGCTTCAGGGGCCTCGACCCGCTCCCCGGTCTTAGGAACTCTTCTCTTCGTTCAGTTCCACTCAGGTTTCAGAGGAGCTTCAAGAAGGCCTGCTGCAGCTTCGGTGTGATGGGTTTGAGCCCGAAGCCGTAGCTGTAGCTGTGAGCCGAAACGTAGGGAGACAGAGAAGTTGCTGGCAGGTCTGCCGCCTCGTGAACGAGGCCGACTTCCGGAACGGTACAGACAGGTAGGTAGGTAGGTATGCATGTGTCTATTGTCTGTGCATACATACATGCATGCATGTGTACATGCGTACAAGCATGTATACATGCATGCATACTGTTGTTGTTGTCTTTACATCAGGTATACCTCTATATATATATATACACTACATATTATATCTGTATGTGTATATATATATATGTATTTATTTATTTATTTATTTATGAAGACACATAAAGTCTAGGCAGGCAACAACGAAATCAATCATTACACGATTGTCTGCGACAAACAGAATCTCCCAATTTATTCTAGCCACATGAATCTGCGGAAGGCCCACGGACAGGTAAAGGAGTCTTGTTTCGGGGATGATGGGGGTGTCAAGGACCCCACGCAGCGGAGCTGACGGTTTGCCCAATTTACAATCTCGTTTCGGGGTGTATACTGCTACGGTTATATCAGTGCAATGAATGGAATTGCTATGAGTTGTGAGGGGAACTTCGCTTAACCGTGGTCTGAGATGAGGTGCCAACATTCGATTGAGAATTTCCGACGTTGAAAGGCAAAAAGCGGCACAATACTGCGTGCAACTCAACAGAAAAATGTGCTCTGATTCAGAGCTGAGGTAGCTCGCGCTGCGGTAAACCGGCCAGCCCGGTAGCCTCCCCACATGCCCATTCTCTGCACTGCGGAAACTTCCAAATTCGACAACCCACTCAAACCATCGAATTCCCGAAGGTCATGCTACAGTACGCTTTTGGGCTCCGTCCTCTGTCTGTCCAATTCCCCCAGCTATCCCCTCCGAGGCCAATGAGCTAGCAGAGGCGTTGTGCCCAAAGGAACGGCTGCTCTTTGGTGCCGAAATCTTGACGGACCGGCGGATCGCTAGTGTCACTGGTGTTAAAGTTGAAACGTTTCTTTACTGTAGAGTTTAAGTTTAGGCTTGAGGTTGAGGTAGTTGAGTGTTGCAGGAAGGCTGACAAGATCATTGCGTTGAAAGACTCAGTCTGCTTGGTTATGGGAGCTGCCATTCCAATGGGAATGCATTATACCAGTATGTTATAAACTGACTCCTTGTAGAACACTTTTGAGTTTCGACCATCAATCTGGTAATCCGAACCAAACGCTGCATAGTGTCTTCAGCGTGCCGCCCTTCCCCCGATCACTCTGCCCGGCGCATTCATGGACTTTGTTGGAACTTTAAATCTAAACCCAAAGCCCTACTGTGCTCTCGGACACAACCCTGCAATGCCGGCTCGTCCTGGCATTTGAACATCTCCTCGCTGAACACTGTATGCTACTTTGACGAGTGGGTGATCAACCGATAGCGAGTGCTTTCGCGGCTTCATTTGCTGATCGACTCGAGGACTTCTTCGGCACGGACGATGAGAATGTGGTCCCTTGTGCTGCAGCTTAGGTTGGCAAGGGACGGTAGAGCAAGACATGCTTTGCCTTGGCCTTAGCATAGGCCGGCAATGCTTTCACCCCTGCCACTGCGAGTCAAAACAGATCTTGTTGCCGGATCGTGGCTACCCCTTCTCCTTTACTCTACAAGTCGATAGAGTATGGAGTCGCAAGACTTTTCTGTGCGTAGCCGATGAGCTCAGCTTGAATTTCTCCCTGCCTGAGGAAAGCATCGTGCGGGTGAGGAAGCTGCAGAAAGGCAAAGCGCGCTGGCGTGACGTGGTGAAGTCCAAAGTCTTCGCGAAGAGTGACAGACCGCGGCGTCCTCAGCAAAATCATGCCAGCCGCACAGGCTGAAAGTGTGTCAAGAAACTTTGATGACATGTAGCGGAGAATCGGGGGGAACGTTTTATTTGCAAGCCTCTTGTTGTGAATTTCACCCCTTTGCAGAGTAGCCCTGTGAGCCCATGGTGAAATCTTGAAATTGCAGCTCCAACTCTCGAAACCAAGCACCGCTTTTAGTTCCCTGTGGGTTTAGGATTTAGGGTTTCTACAACTTGGACTGATGACAGCACGCAGACGTAAATGATTGGCTTAACAGGCCTCAATGATGTTTTGCGTAGCCCAGTGTCCGAGTCGCTAAATTGCTGAAACACCTGAAGCGGCTAGTCTTTCGAGAGTCGCAGTTTCACGGCGCTGGAAGACCAAACCCTTTGCGAAAGGAGTTTGATGGACACCTTCGTGACCGTCAGTATGCACAACATCAACGCCAGAGATCAGACAATCCTGTTGCTGCTTGGCGACTTATGCAATCACTCGTGGGGTTGCCTGCAGAACCTGTTCAAGTGGTTCGTCTTGGTCATTCCCCATTTGGCTGTCACGTTTCGAGCTTACCATGCTGTTCCGGCTAGATATCTGGCACTCGGATGCCCGAGGCTGAATGCTGAGGAGTTCAACCAGCGCTTACAGCACTTCCGTGATATTTACAAGGTGCCGAGGGTAACCCTAGACCCCCAAACTTGCCATATCACCACATGATGTCCCCAAACTCAATTATACACGCCATGATTCCAGAGTTTAATCGTTTGGGCTGCAGGGCTTACCTTCTGGTTAACATGCACGGCGCTGGCCTCTAGCTTGCCCTCAGCCCGTGAGTCAGACAGGGTTTAGTGAGCGACCTTTGATTGTTCTTTAGGTTGGTTCCAGCCCAGCTCCGGACAGAGAACCTGAAGGCAACCTGAAGCCCCCAGCCTCCGAAGCTGCTGATCGGAGAGTCCTACACAAATACCCTCCGTGCGGTCCAACCACAGAGTCTCTCCAAAGAAGCGCGCTATTCACAAGCAATCCCTAACCCCCCAGGTACCTACTATATAGGGTAGAGCCCCTAGGGCCCTATACAGTAGGTACCTGGGGGTTAGGGAATCTTTGCAGACCGTCTTCACGGATCACCACAGCCTCGAAGACTTGCCCCTCGCTGCAGCCTGGCAGCTAGAAGCGAGCTGGCTTCAGGGTTTTGGGGCGAGGTTGGTTTAGGGTTTAGGGTTCAGGGTTTTGGGGCGAGGTTCCTTAGGGTGTAGGGCTCAGGGTTTTGGGGCGAGGTTCCTTAGGGTTTAGGGTTCAGGGTTTTGGGGCGAGGTTCCTTAAGTACCGTGGTGTTGACGTGCTTTGAGCACTGCTAGAATTGGCTGCCAGGTGTCCTCACGATGGTAAGCTAGTATCAACATGGATACCTGGGCACAGGAGTTATGCACGCTCTCTTTTTAACAACTCACTCTTGGAGGCCCATGGTAGGGTATTCGGCCAGCTAAGTTTCTCACAGAGTGAGCACGGCAGTGCCACAAGCTTCGTTTGAACAGGATTTGCCATGTCTTGCTTGGCAGAGTTACATCTCGCGCATTCGCATACTTCGAAGGTATCAATCAAGCCTCATTGAACCCTTCACACCCACGCCCACTAATTACCTGCTTGAACCCTACAACTAACCGAGAAGGGCTCTGCTCTTCTATCCTAGACGAAACTAGGAAGTCGTTAAGGAGCGAGAATGCTGGGGCCGTTTGCCACCCTGGATGGCTGCAGAGCTGGACCAGGAGCTCGAGCAGGAGATCAGGGCTTGCCGGGTTTAGGCCTTTTTTGGGGGTTTCAGGGGTTTACCAGACGCCAAAAAAAGGGGTTTAGGGTTTCAAACGCCGTGCAAGGAGTTCAGTTTCAAGTTCGCTGGTGTCTTGCGACGACCTTAAGATTCCAGCCTGCTGGCACAGACCCAACGCCTGTGCTGACACAACAATCGCGTTTGGAGCCGGAGGTCGCCAGCCTCTGGCAAACTGGGGTTCTTTTGGCGTGATGCAAGCGCCCGAAGCCAGTGTGAGTGTCTGGCATTTTGGATCAAGCGAAACAAGTGCGCAGGAAGTGCAGCTTGAGCAAGAGATTGCCATTAGAAAGCAACTCTCGAAGGCGGGATGGGACACTGTTTTGCTTAGCTGTACTTTGTGACTCGAAGCCAAGAGTTGCCATGTTTTTGGGGGCAGTGCGGAGTGTTAGGTGTATGCCGCTACGGTATGCCAGCTAAGCTCGCTGTGCACAGCGGTAGGTCGAAATTGTTGCGTAGTCCCGACAAGCCCGTCGCGGACTCGGGGCTCAGCTAAATGAACTTCCGCTGCCATCAGAAGCGAAGCCCCATAAACACACATTTCGAGAGCGAACGCCCAAACCTCAAAAACTCATCCCTGGCTGGCATAGGGCCACGAGAAGTCCGAGAACGAAACCCTGCTGGAGGAGCCTCCGTGTCAAGTCGTTTCCAGAGAGATTGAGAAGTTTAGGGTTTACTTGCATCTGAGGGCTGGCTATGGGCATTTGTTGAGCTTCTGGATGCCTGTGCTCATTATGATCTACAAAGACATGTTATAGTTTGGGGCTGGCAGGAAGCAGGTACGAGGTGCACATCGAATTGCCTCGATGTCGATATGTATCCCCGACCCCCTCAAGAACCCTAAGAGCTATATTCCCGATCGAAGATACAGGAGCTCCCAGCTCAACCACAAAGGGCTTTTTCGAAGTCACATGAGAGCTCCGACGCTGATGCAAGCCGCTCAGCTTCGGATTATAAGCTCAACTAAGCCCCAAAACCCCTGCGAAGTTAACAACAAAAGGCCCTAAACCATCTAAGCCATAAACCGCTATCAGGAGCAGCTGGCCTGCATGCAGCAGCTGCTGGATGCCAAGGCAGCATGGAAGCTCCGAGAACATGCTAATCTTAAACAGCCTTGGTTTTTGCTGGTTTGTTTCACCTAAAGTTCTGTTGTTTATGTTAAACCCCTTGTTGTTGAGGCTTCAGCCATGGCACTTGGCGCCAGATTCCGCTTTTAGTTTTCGTTCAGAGCATGATGGTAATTCTGGTTGTGCTTTCGTTTCATATATGTGCTGGCATCTACGGAGTCCATCGCTTCAAAAAAAGCCAAGGGTGCTGACGTGTAGCAAAAGTTTGCCCTGTTCAGGCCCCGACTAGAGCCGTAAGGCACCTTAGCCGCAAACCCAACCTTGAAGAAGGTGATAGCAAGGCCTATCCATGCATTCCAACAGTAGCAAGTTATAACGTACCACAGTATACCATTCTATGCTGTCATAATTTTCCCCGAAGGATCGGCGAATCCAGTCACTGGAGTTGGCTGCCGAAGCCCAGGCGCTGGCGCCGAGAATGACTGCCTTGTTTCTTAATTCGATTGATTATTTCAGGAGTCTATAGTAGCTTGTAGAGATATGAAGATGCCAATCGGGGCTTTATGTTTGATAGGGTTACGCAAAGACAGCTTATGAGCGGGTTAAAGCTTCCTTCGCGAACGACACCACAGCTGTGAAAGACGCTGAAGGCTGCTTCGTGGAGTTGTATTTTGGCTCCTATAGGTTTTGAGCAGGGCTCAGGCTTTAAGGTTTCAGGAATTCCTGTGTAAGTGCTTAGGTTGAAGGTTTCAAGATTGACAGTCGAAGCTGGATTTGATGGTACACGCGTTTAGGTTGGTTGAAAGAAGGTCCACAGGCCCCTAGAAGCAATGTGCTTCTCGACACAATTTCTTAGAGCCCGAAAAAGCTTGATTGCTGTAGGGTCCCATGTCGTGCTACTTGTTGCGCGATGTAAGTACCCCACTTAGAGAGGTCAATCATGCTAGGTAGAGTCTCATGTCAGGGGTGCAGTGAAGCCGTGCAGACCGAAGGAAAAGATGATTAACCGCTGCATACGAAGTAGCTTTTGACAATCCTTCCTGTTTTCTGATTATTGCATCCCAGATTCCCCAAAGTCGGGAGTCTCGGGGACTACCAGCAGATCCAGGTAGCCCCCCGAGAACCTTACCATCCGACTCAATCGCAGGCAACATTAGTTTCTCTGCATCCCCTTCGTATCCGAAAGCCATAACCTGCCCTTTAAGTTGAGATTCAGGATACTAAGTCTACATTCAACGAATCTAGTTTGAGCAGAAAGCGCCAGTGGCTTCTTTTTTCTTTTCTGTTATTGGGCACGTCTGCTTCCAAACAGGGGTCCTGAAGCCCTGTGGCGGTCTCCATGCCTCACCTGCCTACGCTACGGCAGTTTTCGTTATTTTCTGCATCGGTATTTGCATGCTGTCCCTCATCATTCTGCTTTTCATGCTCTTTTTGGTACTGCATGCGACCACCGGAGCATCCTCGATCCTGCCAGGTGGGATCCTCCTATGGCAAGTCGCCAAGGCGTGCGAACGAACGTCGGCACTCTACGCCATCGCTGGGCTCCTGTTCTGCTATCAGGGGGTTTCGGGATTTTAGGGTTCTGCAGTCTGCGGCTTTTGGGATTGGGGAATGGGGGGGTTGGGATATATGGTGCAGCGTCGCCCGACCCGCCCTGCCCCCCATGGTTACACCCCTTGCCGGCCCTATAATGCTGGGGGGGGGGGGAGGGGGGGTACCGATACGCGACACGAGACCATATATAGGGCAACGTTGCGATGACACAGAGTTGCAGTTGCCGGGTTTAGTCTTTCTCGGAGCCACTGAGAAGCTCATTCCTGGGCTTGTGTAAGGGAGCCTGCGTTCCCGAACGCGTCTTTCCAGGAGGATCGCTCTCGTAATATCGCCATGATCAACAAGTTGGCTTGCAACAGATGAACCAACCTGGGGAATCCTGAAGTGTGTCGAGTTGAATAAACACACTCTGGCACTCTGGGACCGGCGGTTGCGGCAGCCAAAAAGCCATCAACAACCCGTAAATCCTAATCAACACCGGGATGCTGTATGCTACTGCGACAAACGGACGAACGAACGAACACACACACACACACACAAACACACACGCGCACACGCACGCACACACA